TAATTTAATCCTGTAGCTGAGTGTACTTGAAAGAACTTAGCCTTTCAAATCTCAAAATCAAGATTCAAGTTGAAGTTGAGTCCCTCATTTCACTGTATGACCTTGAACAAGTTATTTTACCTCCCTAAATGTTCATTTCCTTATCAATCACCAGGGTATAAAAATATCTCTCACGCATTTTATAGTGTTGTCAGCATTTAATGAGATAATTATGTTAAATGCAATGTGTTTTACAAAAATATGAAATTACTGTTCTGAGTTTAAATTTTGCACACACACACACAAAATCTGTTCAAAGACAGATTGTGTGTTTTTCTCTGATGATTTCATTGCTAAATACACTAAGGTAGAAACCAAATCTCATATTTCCTATGTGGTGGGAAGGAGAAGAATCTGCAGTGGGGAAGGGGGAAGACTGTCAGAACTTTAGGGATGGCTACATCTGGAGAACAAGCCCAAGGCTAAGTGCCTTCATGTCTGAGACTGGGACATAGTCAGCCAGTCCTTTCAGGTAGGTGGCAACAGCTGTCGTTGTTTTGTTCATATAACTGCTGCAATGATGGGAGGGCTCTACTTACCAACTGCCCACTCAGCAAGTATGAGCCCTCAAAGAGCCAGTTGTGATGCAACTCTGATGGTTTTCATCTACTCTATCCATCACCAATTTTTTGGGAACTTTACACACAGGGACACAAGTTTGGAATCTTTAGGCAGGAAACAATTTTAATAATTCTGTTGGACCAAATATTCTTCATGAAGTTGTACAATAACTGGAGCTTACATAGGCTGTCAGACAGCAAGGTTAGTAACAGCTAGACACACAGCCAGTAGGATTTTGGCAGCAGACTATTCTGTAGCAGGTCATCTGACAACAAGGTTGGCTATGGTTTGTTGGCAGCTAGACAAGTTGGTCAACAAGAAGTTGTTCTGTAATATAATAATAATAATAACTGGCATTTATATAATACTTTAAAGTTTGTGAAGGGCTTAGTTTTTTTTCCTTAATTTTATGTATTTCATTTTGATCTTTCCAACAACCTCAGGAGGTAAGTGATATTATTATCCTGATTTTACAGAGAAGGAAAATGAGACAGGTTAAAAGGTTTTCCCAGGGTCATACAGCTAGTAAATTAGGGTTTGAACTCAGGTCTTACTGATTCCAAGTCCAACACTCTGTGCTGTACCACTTTGCTGCCTCTAAAGACAAGAAGAATACTGGCAGCAATTTAGAATTCAGTATATTACATTGATTGACAGAAACTGGATAAACAGTCAGGACAGGAGGAAAAGCTAAGCTTTTTCCTACCTAACTATTGATAATACTATTATCAGATTGTCATGAGATGGAACACATTGAATCATGATGATTGCTAATTCAATGAAAATGATGAAAATCTTTGAAGAGGAGGAAGACAAAGTACATGAGCCCCAATGGAGGAACCACCTAAATTATTCATTCTGATAAGATCCATCATCACTCTTAGTCAATAACTCCCAGTCTAGACAGTTCTTGTGGCTATGGTACATGGTATAAACAATAACAAGGAAAGATCCTGCCAATTGGGCCACATTTGATTTGTGAGATAAAAAGCAAGGAGAGCTTGTTGGGCTTTGGGAAAGTCCTCTGTAACCCAACAGAAGCCTCTATAACCAAAGCCATGGTCAGCTCCTGCTGCTGTGCTCCCACCTGTTGCCAGTCAACATGGACTGAAAGACAATCTACTGCCAAACAGCCTGTTGCAGGTCCACTTGCTGTGTGTCTAGATGTTGCCAACTTCTCTCCTGCCAGCCTACTTCCTGCTCCATACCTTGTTGCCAACCAACCTGTTGCAGGACAGTGTGCTGCCAAACAATCTACTGCCACCCCATCTGCTGCCACCACCAGCTCTGCTGTCACCCTATATGTTATGTGCCCAGCTGCTGCTAGCCTTCCTACTGTTGACCTTGGCTTTGCCCAACACTTTGTTGGGCACATTTTGCTTCCAATCAACCTGATTTAATCCAACTCCCTGTCCATCATCTTCCTGTTGAAAGTCCTCAAGTCCCCTGGATGATGCACTTTGCTTGGCATCACTGGAAATAATGCAAGTTTCCTGCCTCTTTATCTGGTGTCCACTTTGCAGGTTTCTTGCTAACTGGCTGCTAAAGCATCCTGGGTTTGTTTTATTGCTCCAGTTGGCCAAGGCCCTGACATTTGGCCATTCTCCTTTGGATCCCAGAGCCTGCTTAGCCACTATGAGCTATCTACTCATGGAAGATACTCCCTAGATTCAACTTTAATCTTTGCATCAAGACAACAAACCAGCCTGGCAACAGACAATGGGAGTTATTCCTTTGTACTAACACTCTCACTAATTTGCCCTAAGAACTAATTCCTCAGTCCCAAATCTTTGCAATTTCTCAATGTCGTTTCCTTATAATATTGTTCTCTAGTTTCTTCATTGTTTTCTTATTCTCCTTCCTACTTTGCCTGATTGCTTCCATCTATTGATATAGAAACAAAAGGGCTTTACTTTTATCTCTATAAAATCTTATTTTATTAGATCCAATCCTTTGAGCCTGTTACATTCTGTCTGGATTCTGATTCTATCATTCACATCTCTGTCTAGGTGGAATAGACAGTGGAGCCCTTTGAAACCCCTCTAGAGTACTTCCTGGGGGTAAGAACAATCCACAAAGAGGTGGAGTGAAGACATGGAACCTTCTGCCTTATGCAGAAACAATCAAGTGCAAGATGATCCGAATATTCTCTCTTCCAGGAATCAATTTTCTTCCAGGACTCAATCCCTGTGACCAAGAAATTCAACTCTCCTCTTCCTCTCCCTATACCTGTGATAATGAATCCCTAAATACCTAAGTATAAGCAATACCCTTCCCAAACCCCACTTCCCATTATCTCATCCACATTTAATTCAGTCTTCCACCTGGGTTTTGGAAAAAGAGCATCACCGGTGGAATTGTGAATTGATGCAACCATTTTGGAAAGCAATTTGGAATTGTAAGACAAAAGTGAATAAAATGCCTATACACTTCAACTCAAATATTCCACTACAAGAAAGGCCCCCAATACACCCTAATATTTATGGCAACACTTTTTGATAGTAATGAACTGAAAACAAAATAGATACTTACTGATTAGGGAATGGCTAAACAAATAGTGGTACATGAATGTCACGAACTGTTATTGTACTGTTAGAAATGACAAACACAGTGATGAAGGAGAAATAAAATGTAGCAAACTATACAAGGAAACAGTAGATATCCACTAATGTAAGACTATTTCTTGTCTGAGATAAGAAATGCCTGTAACTTTTTCTTAATGGTTATCTCAACTCAATCTTAAAACAAATCTCTTTAATAGCTCTAAATGTATTTAGTAACATACTCTTCTTTCCTATTTTTGAATAGGAATGTTTTCTCAGTCATATAATAAATCTGCCAATTGTATTACTTCCCCTTTCTCGTTTGAATAATACCTCCTTCCTTTACCCTACCTCTCTGGGTAAAAGGTTTTATTTATTTATTCTCAATTGCTATAAGATTTTATTGATTGGTACTGTAAACAGGGTTGAAAAGTATATATATATATGTATACATATATGTATACATATGTATATATATGTCCCCTAAGAAATGGCAAGAAGAGATGAAAAGGTTTTCTTAAATTAGTAATGCAAAATTATAGAAGAAAACAATAGAATGGGAAAGATGAGATTTCTTTTAAAAATTAGAGATATCAAGGGAAAGTTTCATGTAAAAATGGGCATGATAAAAGACAAAAATGGTAGGGATAACTGATAACTCCTTTACTGATAACTTCTTGCCATGTGTACAGCAGGAAATTGACAAAACCTTGGTAGTAGTTGATACTTATTTGGGCAGAGGCTCAATCCTCTAGTAACTGGTTGACTGAGAATGCACAGTATCAGGCACAAGCTTATTCAATCTTGTTCTTACTCTTAATAGGTTGTCATCCCTAAAGTACTGACAGTATGCTCCAGGCATGCTGTATGCATACAGTGGTATGTTATATTATCCAATAAGAAAAATGAAGTTTGATTTCTAATCTAATGCACTTGAAATAAAATTGCCAGGAAATGAGATGCAGTCTGGCTTTGAGTAGAAATTTTTTTGTGTGTGTGTGAAGTTGAACAATAATACTAATTGATATTTTTTCATAAAATAAATTTTCATTTACATGGTTAAATAACTAAATGCTGACAAAAATTCCTTAAACCTAAAAGACAGGTTTTAATATTCTCAGGTTGTAGGTAAGGAAATGGATTTTTAGAGATGTCATGTGACTTGTTCAAAATCATTCAGTGAATAAGTGACTCAGATGATTTTGTGACTTCAAATTCCAAGTTCTTTCTACTATATTTAACTATAGGGTCAAAATTGCAAACTTACTATTGTTAGGATCCTATTTTACATAACCAATTTAAAATAGGGATAGAACAAGAGCTGGGGAGAGAGTGAACCTTCATGGTGCAATGAGAATGTTATACATTTTAGAGCAGGATGACCTGATTTCCCATCCTTGTCCTTCTTATCACCTGTATGCCTTTGGTGAAATCATTGAACCTCTTTGTGTTTCCTCAGCTATAGCATGAAGAGGTTAGTTTATCTTCTATCTAGGGTCACGCCCCTTTTAGAATGATTAAGTTATCATATGATGTCTTGAAGCATGATAATAGATGCTTTCATGATAGTGAAAACATCTTTGAAGATGGACTTTCTAACTCTTGAGGAAAGATTGGATTGGATGAGTTCAAATGCAGGAGCCAAAAAGTCATTTATTCTAATAAGAATTATACTAACTCTTAGTCAGGAGTGATCTTGTTTGATCAAAGAACATGGCATAAACAATAACAAGGAAGGGCTCTGTCCTTTGACCCACGCTCAGCTACTGAGGTTATGTATAAAAAGCCCTAGAGTGGGAGGGCTTTTTCTGAATACTTTTCTACTGAAACTCAATAGAAACTTCCATAACCAGGACCATGGTGAGCTCCTGCTGCTGTGCTCCCACCTGCTGCCAGCCAACATGCTGCAGAACAGTTTGCTGCAAAACAACTTGTTGCAGGCCCAAATGTTGTGTGTCCCACTGTTGCCAACCTTGCTGTCATCCAGCCTGCTCTGGGTCCAGCTGTTGTATACCTTGCTGCCAGCCCCCCTGCTGCTGGACAACCTGTTGCCACCCCACTTGCTGTGTGTCCAGATGCTGCCGTCCCACTTGTGAAACCACTTGCTGCAGAACAACTTGCTGCCATCCAGCCGCTTGTGTCTCTAGTTGCTGTCAACCCTCCTGCTGCTGATTGATTTGCTGTCCAACAACCTGTCATGTTTCTAGTTTCTGCTTACCATCTTCTTTCCCAAAACCTGGTTTCCAACCTACTTGCTTTCCTATGGTCATTCTCTTGCTCATAGTTTCTGCATCTATTTGATGGACTAATATTGCTATCTGCTACTTAACTTTTACTTCATCATCTTTTGACTAGCTTGCAGACAATCGATCAACTTCATACCACCTAGCTGCTGAAGAGTATTGTTATCATTTTGTTACTGCTGCTAGCCAAGTCAAAATCCTTCTATGGTTCTCTTTGTAATGAATTCCTTTGCCTGTAAATTCCCTGTCCTGTCGCATCCCGAATACTCTCTATTTAGCCACTTTGTCCATTGATGGAGGGAACCACATGGAGACAGTTCTAATCCTTCTATAGAGATATTCAATAAGCCTTGTAGCAAATATGTTGTCATATTTATGGTTTGTGAACTGAATAGATTGCCTCAGAAACATCTCTAACTGTCAAACTGTTAAAGCTTCAATCATTGCAACTTTCAAACATTCTTTGGTTCTAAAATTGTTTCCAATTTCTTTATTCTATTTACATTGTATTTCTTCCTCTTATTCTTAAATGTTCTTATGATCATCAGGACTTTTGTGTTTGTCTCCTAATAAACATCATTCATTTATGTAATCAGGTTTATTCTTGATTTGTACCACTTTTGTAGTGATAACACTGATGCTGATGCTAATACACTGTCAGTAGATCTTCTACACCTTTGTACTGATTTCTCACTAATAGTAATGGATTTATGTTCATCTGAGATAGAGGCATCCTGGTGTAACAGAATGAATGCTGACCTTGGAATCAGAGGACCTGGGTTTGAATCCTCCCTTATAAGGTCCCTTTCAATTCTAAATCCTGGATCTTATGATTTATATCTGTATGTCCAATAGCATATATTTGCAAACCAGCTAAATGGATTATACTATGAATTATATTTTATACTATTAACACCACAAATGTTGCATAAACTTGACCACTCACCTATTTGAGATAAATAAGGATCTAGTTTTTGTATCTCAACTTACCTCTTCTAAGAAATGGGTATTTCTTCTTAGATCTTTAATGCACACCATTATGTGCATCAATTTTTATGGCAGATTCATAATTTCTGCTATTAGGCCCAACTAAGGAAATAGTTTCCTTCATCCCTCCAATACCTCAGCCAACTTCAATACAGTGAAAACATTTGATAGCATATAGATTATAGAAGTCAATAATGGTGCCACTAGAAATACACAACTATGCAGGGACAGAAACCAAGTGTAACTGGAGGACTAGCACTTCTGATGTGAGGACTTGTTGAGTCCTTTTCAGGGTGACTCATCTACCTTTGGTGTTCACCTATCACCCAATTTTCTTATGTGACTCCAAGAAGCTATAGCATTTGCAGCCACCACACCCCTGTAAAACCATCTCTGCAGACAGGCTAAAGCAGTTTGAGGGTAACAAATAGGCTTCAAACCTGGTGGCATGCTAGGGGGATATCTATTCCGAGTATGTTAAGACTTCCCTGGGCAGATAGGTGGATGAGAACAATTTGTTCCATTGGTCATGAAGACAGCTGAATCAGGCACTGTGGAGTGCTTAGAGCTTGGTCAGACATTAAAGTTGCCTAGGTCATCCACTATATTCTAGGCCTTTGCCAGTCATCTTGACAACTTGCCACTGGAATTAGTTGACTCTGGAAGAGAGACTAAGGTTTATGACTCTGTACACTTGAATCCAATTCCTGTGCAGGTCAAGATATCACCCATCATCCACTATTTTACCCTAATATTGTGATGTCATTGATCTTCTTCAAAAATAAAGGATGAACAACAAACAGCAACTCCCTAGGAAATTCTAAGAAATCTTACACAAGAGAAATGAATAGATTGCCTCAGAAACATCTCTAAGAAATGAATCATTTTCATTCATTGTCATCACTACATTAGGACTCAATAAGAGCAGCAATAAAATTGACTTTTACATAATGAAATTTTCAAACTTTGAAAATGAGAAAACAAAGACAGGGCAGAGAATGTGGGTGGGGCTGAAGAGAAGGAGAAATAGGAGGGTTTTCTTTTTTTTTCTTGGGATACTGTCAACCACCTGCTAAAAAGGAGCACATACATCATGAATTCTTGATGCAAATCGCTAAGCTTGTTAAAGAATGATGACTTTGTTTCAATGGACCTTTTCAAGTATTTTGCCACCAACTGAAGTTCCCACTGTGTCAATAGCTGTGTATTTTTACCTTTCTATGTTGATAATTTTATCTTTTAGGAGGTATAGGGGGTGGTTGTGGAGCTAAGCAATGTAGACTAATGATGAGGAAATGCTTGATGAAGTAGTAGGAACTTAGGGACAATTCCAACTTTGATTTTAAGCTAACTAAATAAAAGACAGCCAAGTATATTTTGATTTGTACCCTAGAATTCTAGCCTCTTGAAGAAGGTGAAAGATGAGAGTGCAAAAGGGGGCTTGTAGCTTAACATAAAAAAAAAAACCAGAACTAGGATCTTGGCAACTGGCCCCATCATTTTCTGGAAAATTGAGTGGCAGGAACTGGAAGTAGTGTCAGATTTTATATTCTTGGGCTCAAAGATCACTACAGATGGTGAATGCAGCCATGCAATTATATTTGCTTCTTGGCTGGAAAGCTATGGCAAATCTGAATAACATACTAAAAACAGAGGCGTCACCTTGCCAACAAAGGTTCATATAGTCAAAGCTATGTTTATTTTCAGTAGCAATGCATGGCTACAAGAGTTGGATTATAAAGAAAGCTGAGCACCACAGAATTGACACATCTGCATTGAGTTGCTGAAAATGACTTTTTTTTTTTTGCTTAGGCAGTTGGGGTTAAGTGACTTGCCCAGGGTCACACAGCTAGTAAGTGTCAAGTGCTCTGTCTGATGTCGGATTTGAACTCAGGTCCTCCTGACTTCAGGGCCGGTGCTCTATCCACTGCGCCACCTAGCTGCCACTAGAAATGACTTTTGAGAATTACTTGGACAGCAAGGCGATCACATCAATCAATAGTTAAAGAAATTAATTCAGGTTATTTACAGGAATATTAAATGCTGAAGCTTAAATACTTTGGTCACATAACGAGAAGATAAGACTTATTGGAAAAAACTCTGGTGTTGGGAAAGATTGAAGGCAAAAGGAAAAGGAGATGGCAGAGGATAAGATGGATAGACAGTGTCATGGAAACAAAAAACATGAATTTGGACAGACTTGAGAGATAGTGGAGGATAGAAGGGCTTTGTGCGCTATGGTCCATGGGGTCACAAAGAGTCAGATACAACTGAATGACTGAATAACAACAACACTGGGTAATTTTAGTCCATCATCTCAAGTTAAATTTCTTAGTATGATTCTGTGATAGTTGTTTTCCTTATAGTAAAAATTTTGTTGGTTTATATTTTTAATTTCTCTATTAGCTATTTTTATAAAAGAATTCAATTTTGGTATGTTCAATATTAATTTTTCATTTTCCCTGAAGAGAATATAATTATTCTTAGTCATTTTATAAACTTTTGTTAAGGCACAATGCTTAGTGCTGGGAATAGAAAAAGGCAAAGAGTCTATGCCTTAAAGGAGCTCAAAACCTAAGGGTGAGAGAAGATCAAAGCTTCTATTTACAAATATGTTATATACAGAATAAATTGGAGATATTCAACAAAAGAAAAACACTAGAATTAAGGGATGGGAAAGGCTTCCTCTGCAAGCTTTACACATACACATTCTTTCAGGGCATGAAACATAGGAATTATATTTTATACTATTAACTCCACAAGTGTTGCAAGAAACTTGACTTCTTTGCCCACCTGTTTAAGGTATATTGCTGTGGATTTGACAACTTTCTCACCCCATCATTATATCCTTGCTTTTTCTTTCTCATTCTTTATTTGTGAGGCATATAATCAATTTATATTTTCCTTCACCTTAAAATTTTTAAAAATGTTATTTATTTTTAACATTTAAGAAAAATTTGAGTCCCAAATTCTCTCCCTCTCTCCAGTCCCTCCCCTGCCCACTGATAAGGTAAACAATATGATACCCATGACATACGTGAAATCATGCAAAACGTTTCCATATTGGCAATGTCACAAAAAGCGAGAAAAATAGAAAGTGAAAAAATTATACTTCTATTTGCACTCAGAGTACATTAGTTCTCTCTTTAGAGGTGGATAGCAATTTTCATCATGAGTCTTTTGGAACTGCCTTGGATCATGGTATTGATCACAGTAGCTAAGTCCTTCATAGTTGATCAGCCTTATAATATTGCTGTTACTGTGTACAACGATCTCTTCATTCTACTCACTTCACTTTGTAATGGCTCATATAGGTCTTTCCAGGTTTTTCTGAAATCATTCCACTTGTCATTTCTTATAGCACAATAGTGCTCCATCATAATCACATACCACAACTTCTGCAGCCATTCCCTAATTGATGGACATCCTCTCAATTTCAAATTCTTTGCCACCAGAAAAAGAGCTACTATAAGTATTTTTGGGATACTGAAATTGTAGCAGTATTGCTGGTTTAAAGGATATGCATAGTCTTATAGTTCTTTGGGCATAATTCCAAATTGTTCTCCAGAATGGTTGGACCAGTTTCCAACTCTACCAACAATTCATTAGTTACCTATTTCCCCCCATCCTTTCCAGCATGTATCATTTCTGATAGGTGTGAAGAAGTACCTCAGAATTGGTTTAATTTGCATTTCTCTAATAAATAGTGATATATAATTATGTAGATATAGATTTATAGATATTTACAGATATAGAATATGACTGAATAGCTTCGATATCTTCTGAAAACTGCTTGTTCATATCACTTGACCATTTATCAATTGGGGAAAGGCTCATATTTTTATAAATTTGACTCAGTTCCCTACATATTGGGAAATGAGGCCTTTTTTCAGAGAAACTTGGTTTCTGGTACATTTTAGCAAAATATAGTTTCCCTGTT